GTCTTTTTGGGTGTTTTAGCGCCATGAAGCTACTTTGATGATGCTCCGTGCTGGAAGAGGCAATCGAGAAATTGCTTGTGAACGGTTGAGCTGTAACGATATACTTCCGAATATCCGAGCTCTCATGTTCCATCTTCATATCCACAATCTCTCCGATCGACTGTGAGTCATTTCCCTCCGTCCCTCCGTCATTGATTTCCCTCGGAAGCCACTGACGAAGGTGCTCTTGTTTAGGAACTTTTCATGCAGGCAATGCGACAGCCGCTACGAAAGTACGCGCGAACTGCAAATGCACGTTTGTAAAGAAAAGTCGTCAAGTTCCAGCCTTCGTCGACCTTCGATCATCAGTCTTCTTTCACCTCCTACATCTCCCATCCTAGGTTCGTACTATTCATCTCTTTCCAAAATGACTTGAGACTGATCGTGTCTACTTCTCGCTCACCATTTAGCCCCGTTCCGTCGAGTCTTTTCGAGGATCTCGTGTGTTGCTGATGAGGACGTAGAAGAATTGTGATTCTTCTGTGGAGGATCGCTGTCGATCAGCATCTCGGTTTTGTTCACATCGTTTACGACCGTTGGATGACTTTCCTATCTGCATGTGTTACCATGCAGCCCCCGCTGTCTCTTCACCGCCCTGTCTCACTTTGCTCTTGGAAATCGCAGTATTTAATAAACTTGTATCCATAGCACCTGTTGCTTTTGGTCGCACAAGGTCTGGCTGATGCTGTGTGTTTTGGCGAGTCTTAGAGTTACCCAAGCATTCTAATACCCGAATCCTCTGCCGCGAGTCGCATCTTATGTGTCTGGTTGGCTGTTGTCATCTACAGGGCGCAGCTGCGCTCAGGTATCGATTGTACCCGGTGCTCACGGAACGTCCACTCGGAAACACCACCTTCAACCTCCACCGCACGTGGAGTCCTAATGGAGGTAAGAAACCAACGTTTCAGCAGAATATCACAGAAACCATCAAGTCATTTCCGGTGCTCATGGACTCGGTTTTGTTTATAAAAAAAGCCTTCTGGAACGCGAGGCTATACTTATGGGAAACGACATGAATTCAAAACAACGCAATCCCAAGCAAAACGACGTTAACAGCTGGTTACCATTTTAGGAACCCTAACCACGCCAACATCAAGTCCAGAAGGAGTTCATTATATCCAACCACATAACCATACAATACCATCATGTAAACATATCATTGACGTTCCAGCATACTCACAACTCTCTAAACATACCAAGCCATCTTCTCCCGAGGCTCACGACCCAAGTTTCCGAACTCTCCCAGCTCCAACACCCAAACTCCTGACACCCCCAACTCCAACTCCACTAGTAGGCACCGGCATCCTACTCGTCGAAACAGAATTATTCGTAGACGCAACACCCCCAGCAACAGTCCCAGCCCTCCTCCTCCCTCCCAATCCCAAACTTCTCACCCCACCCAAACCAGAGGTAGTTTCCACCTCCCTTCTCGCAAGTTTCCTCTCGCCCAACCCGACCGCACCACCCTTTCGCTCCACCCCAACCTTTTGGTCTGCCGGCACCACACCAGCCTTCCTCTCAACACCACTCCCAACAACCTTCCTCTCCCCAACGCCCAAAGAAACACTCCTCCCGATCACGCTAGCAGAAGGCCTCAACAACTTCGAAACAGGAACAGGCTTGATACCCTCCACCTTCGCCATGCTCCTTTCCCCAACCTTCGCCGTACTCCTCTCCCCGACCTTCACCACACTCGCCTCCCCAACCTTCGTCGTACTCCTCTCCCCAACCTTCGCTGCGCTCCCCGCCCCAACCACCGACACAGACCTACCCACACCCCTAACCCCAACCCCACTTCTTAACCCAACAGGAACAGGAGGGACAGGCGGAGGTACAACCCCAGCACCCGGCCTCTTCACACCCACAACCCTCTTCGCCACCTCCCTCTCTCCACCTCCTAACTTAGTCGGTAAAGGCGGGACAACAGATGGCCTCCTAGTCCCAGTCGCAACAACACTACCCCTCCTCCCACTCACACTAACACTAACACTAGCTCTTCTCCCAGCTCCGTTGGTGGTGGTGGCAGTGGTGGAGGTAGAGGTACTAACAGAAGCAGCCTTGTGATGTTTCTTGACAATCTTCAATGCTGGTACAGTCGGCGCTGGAGCAGGTACTTTAGCGGGAGTCGCAAGTGGTTTGGATGGTTCGTGCCGAGGATGATCAAGTCGAGTCTCGATTCCGCCTTCGATGACTACCTCATCGTCTGGTTTCTCAGATTCAAACACAGTTCCGACAGTTCCTAAACACGCAGCACTAATCAGCCACCCCACCTCTCCAAAAACACCCCGCGCAAAAACCCACCCCCGGCACCGGTAGCGATCTTCGACAGCGGCGAAGGAGCTTTGAAGACGGTTGCCGTTCGAGGAGTCAGCTTTGTTAGGCGAGGAGCTAGGAGGAAGGGGCATAACATGTCAGTACAAGCGGGGGGAGGAAGGAAGAGGATAAGCAAGGCAGGCGGAAAACGCGAGGAAAAAAAGGAACAGAAGGCATGCAAAGGACGCAACGAAAGGCGACGAAGAAACTAGCTGATGGGACAGGACATTAACGAAGCGGAGGGGTCAAGTAAGAAAATATAGCCCTCGATAGTAAAGAACACAGCAAACAAGCGAGTTAGAAAAACCTCGCGACGAAAACCGACAAAAAGGAACTCCTGACATGCGAAAGAAGACAATAGGAAGAGGACTCACTACCATCCTTCCCCTTTTCGCTCTTATTCTCCGGCGCTATCAGAAACTCATCAGGATCTCTCGTACCCTAAACGAAAGAAAGTACTTACTCTTCACAGTTGGCAGTTGAGCACCAAGCGACTGTTCAACGCCCACAAACTCTCCCATCTCCTCCTCCTTCATCTTCCTCTCCACCAACTCTCGCTCCCGCTCCCGCTTCTCCCTAATTTCCCTCTCAGCTTCCTTCACCAACCCCAACTCCTCAACCAACCCCTCCAACCCCCTCTCCTCCTCCTCCAAATCAAACGAGACCTCTCCGAGACCCGCCAAGAACGAAATCTTATCATTCAATAAATCAAATGACGTCTCTGGGTTCATGTGCAAGTCGAGGGAGGATAAATCTAGTGAGGTCCTGTTTTGTGTACGGGAGTGGGAGGGGAGGGCGTTCCGTACGCGCAAGTGGGAGTTTGAGCGAGAGCTGGATTGGGAAGACGGGGGGGCCTGTAAGCCCAACTTCTCCACAATGGAAGGTGTAGCTTTTGGCGTTTGTTGGATCGTAGCGGATGAGGAAGACCTCTCTCTAGTTTTGAGCGATAGAGAAGGGCTTGGTGTTAGAGCTGAAGTTGAAGAACGTGGTCGTCTTGTGTTCTTGTTAGTCGAAACCGGAGGTGTATGCTTGGTAGCGGAAATGTGAGGCGAAGGAGTCTTCTCCTTGATCAAAGCTGGAGGAGTCTTCACCTCCTTCACCCAAACCGGCGCACAACCTTCCCTCGGTGAATCTGGTAAAGGAAAGTCACAAGGGGAGAGTGGTAACGCCACCTCCGACGGATCCGTCGAAGGACGATTCGAAACGGCCTTGAGCGAAGATAGGGAGGTGTTTAGGATCAAGTTTGAGTGTGAGGAGGGGATGAGGAACGTAGTCGATGATGAGAGATTGGAGTGTGTTATTAGGTTGGAGGACGAATGCGTGGCCAATTGGGAAGGAGTCAAGTGGGAAGTGGAGAGTGTTGTGAAATCTTGTTGGTGCGAGTCACAGTCGGATGGGGGACAAGTGATTATGATTGGGTCTTGCGGAGGGAGGGGAGGGTGATCACGTTTGTATAGACGTTTGGGAATAACGGTTTGGTCGTGAAGAGGTGTTCTCCTCGTCGATGGCGTTTGGAATGGGACGTCGGGGTGGGGAGGAGTGGCCAAGGGCGTGACGTCCTCTCCACTCGCATGACTACACTCGTCATCGGAATGCCCACAAAACTCAACAATCTCCCCTCCTTCATCTTCCTCGTCCGACTCGGGTCCACCATAAGCGTCGGCAAGTGTAACGTCGACCAGCCTTCCTCTCGGCGTCCTGGGCGAATCGACCTTCTTGCCAACGCCGTCGACAGAAGATTCGTAAGTGCGATTGAAAAAGGCGGACATGGTGATGAGCTTTGGTTTCTCTTCGTCTTTCCTTATCCCTCCTTCCTTCAACCCAGCTTCATCCCGAACGGCAGGAAGATCGTTCTCCTTTTCAGAAAGCATGGCGGGCAACGGAGGGACAGGGGGGATAGGAGAAGACGGCTTGCGACGTGGAGTGTGTGGTGCTGGGGAGTTGAGAGGGTCGAAGAGCTTGAGGACGCTCTTTCTGGGTGCGGTCGGTGCTGTCATGGTGTTGTGGTTGTGTTGGCTCAGCGGAGGTTTGCTTTTCGAGAAGCGGTTCGATATGCACGTGAGCCACAAACAACACGTAAATAAACGAGTCACGTGTGGTGTAGGGTTGGGGTGCACTGCCACTTCGATCATGTTCAGATCTAGAGTCTGGACGCTCTCGCTGTGTCCTCACGTTGATCCCGCCGTCGATGGCCAGGCGTCTGCTGTCGTCGGCTATCACCCGCTTCACTACACATCGTCCGCCACCTCTCTTATCAACAAGGACCATGTGTTTGGTTTGCCATATTACTACACCCTATTTAGTCTCATACCAATACCGTCAGTAACGGGTTTGAAACGAGACTAACACCCGCTGAGCATTGATGATTTCAGTAGGGAAGGAGCTCAATTCTCCTGCTGTCCACATACAGTATGTATCACTTTCGCCGCGTCGAGATGCTTTGGATCTGCTGGAGTTGGATCACCCCTGACCCTCTGAGATGCACTCAATCATGCGCCTCTCTATACCCAGTGAGTGTAATCTTTCTTTTCTTTTCCATCCAAGTATGTCAACCATCGTCCATAACACAAGGCTTCCGTAATGCTGCAGCAATGGCGAGCGGCGAGCTGTCTCCACCCATATGCATCTCTCTCCCCCCTCTCACCATCGGCCGACTGGCGAAATGGCATCGCGTCTGACTACGAACCGGAGGGGTCGAACCTTCATTGCTTACGTAATCAGGAGACTGCAGGTTCGAGCCCTGCGTCGGTCACTTCTCCATCGAACCAACACTTTTGTTTTTCTGGGTATTGATATTTTGAACTTGGCTGGAGCAGATGGTCGGCAGCAGAAGATTGGACCCTGCTGGGAATTTTTTGCGTCGTCATCGTCATTTCGCCTTTCTACGACGGACCACGGTGGAGGTTCGAGGACGAGATACTCATACATTCGTGTAGCCGGTCATCGCGGCTCGCCTTCAGGTCCAAGTGGTGCCAAACGCCATCCACACCCACTGTAGTCTCAGGCTGGCATCAATCATTCCAAGCCGTCCCTCAAATCAAAAGAAGCGCTACGTAGGAGGTGAATTTCTCCACTTGTTTTCTTCGCAAATGTAGATCTGGAGTATACGAGGGGTTTTGTCTAGGGAGAAAACACTTTTGAAAAAAAAAACAGGTTCGGTTTGTATCTCGAAGTGATTATCCTGTAACCCTCTCCCCCTTGCGCATATCTCGGAGGGTAGAACGGAAGACGGTTCACAGAATCCCTCGGATTGACCAACGCAGAACCTGAACCGCCCTTACAGCAGATGCACGAAAACCTTACAACTCGGAACAAGCTACAAAACTCGCTTTGACTGGGATATGTTCACGAAACCACCAAAGGATCAGGTCTTCGACGACGAGACCAGACACCGAAAGCGAAAACTGGATCAGCGGATGAAACAGGTTTACGAAATTCTACCCGAGGTTCATTAGGAAGTGCATTCAACACGACGTGATATCGAGAAATAGGACAAGATGGCAGGTATAAATTAATGCAAATAGGAAAGTCATCGAAGATTCGTGGACAATGTGGATATGAACCAAGGTGCTGGTCGACAGCGATGCCACGGAGGAGAATCATAACTCTTCGACGTCTTCGTCAGCAACGCACGAGATCCTTGAAAAGACTCGACGGAATGGGGCTAAATGGCGAGCGAGGTGCACACACTATCAGTCTCAAGCGTTTTGGAGAGCGACGACGATACGAACCTAGGATGGGGGATGTAGGGGGAGAAAGAAGACTGATAATCGAAGGTCGACGAAGGCTGGAACTTGGCGACTTTTCTTTGCAAACATGCATCTGGAGTTCGCGCGTGCTTTCGTAGCGGCTGTCGCATTGCCTGCACGAAAAGTTCCTACGGAACGGCATCGTCGCCAGTGGGTTCTAAGATAAAGAAACGAGGAGGGAGATGACTCACAATCGATCAGAGAGATTGTGGATATGAAGATGGAACATGAGAGCACGGATATTCGGAAGGATATCGTTACAGCTCAGCCGCTCGCAAGCAATTTCTCGATTGCCTCTTCCAGCGCGGAGCATCATCAAAGTAGCTTCATGACGCTAGTGCACCGAAAAAACAAGATCAATCAGCGCTAGGCACGAATGCAACCACAAAGGAGCTTACAGCTAATTCAAGCTCATCTTCCCTGGAACTACTAAACCTAGGCCTAAGCTCTCCTTTGCCAATCTCAGAGGTGGTCTCTGACCCTGAACTGAGATCCACAGAGCTCGCATCACCCTCCAAACTGGGTCGCTCAACGACCATACCTCCCAATACCTCCTGCGTCCAGCGCGCTCGAAACATAGCAGCGTATTCTTGTGCCTCACTACTACACCTCGTACGTCCCGAGCCACCATATGAAGATGAACTGGGGAGGAGGATAGAGTTGGGTTGGGAGGGTGGCCTAAAGTGGAACGAACTGAATTGGTCGTGGGGATTGTCGTGTTCGGAAGAGTCTTTGTCCGAGTATGAGGACCCAGATGAGATGGGTGAGGGCGAGGAAGGAAGGAGAGGGAATATAGTGCCGTGTCTCCTCGTATCCCGTTTTGGATCTCGCTCTGGGGAGGGAGAGAAAGAGGGTCGACGGGTTGGGTAAGAGAGGGAGAGCATGATCATTTCTTGAGTGGCTGCGTCGATCGTGTCCATGGCTCACTGTCAAAGGGCCGATAACGAAGGTGAGTAGGGTAGAGTAGTAGATCAGATACGATTCGAAACTCAAGATAAGTGGAACACAAGGAGGGGTTGTGATACCTTATATACCGGAACAAATGTGGACTGGTCGTTACTTCCGCATTGTGGTCGCTTTGAAGAACAATTCCCAGTGGCTTCGCGGCAGTCCACCCAGGTCAAAGAGGCTCAAATTTGATTCGTCGATTCGTTCCGACGGTCCATAAGTGGCTGAGGTCGGCCACGATGGTTGAATAAAAACGCCAGTCAGAACCATGTGTGATTGGCTTTGGGGAGAGGTTTGTACAAAGCCAACAAGGAGGTATGTGGTTCAAGCTGTGGTTGCAGATTGAAGTCGACAAAGCGATCGGAGCGTTCCGCTCACTTTGGTTCTTTGTTGGGATGTCAAGTTGCAACGTTGACGTCTCTATTAAGCCCATCTCCTCCGCATTTCTTCGTCCCACTTCATCTCGAAATCTAGTGTTAACGAGAATGTCGCTTATTTCATCATGCGCTAGAGCCTCTAGGCAAGCCCCTACGCGAATGGCAACGCGTAGTTCAATAGCACACCTCCAAAATCCACGTCGGACCCTCAGTTCAAGTTCACAAACACCAGCCTATCCCGGTCACATTCCTCTCAACTGGTTCGAGAATGCCTTCCTTGCTTTTGGTTCTGCCGCCATGTCTCTCGCAGACCCTCGTAGAGGCGGTAAGCAACCATCCACACCTCGCTGCTTACTCCCAAAACTAACGCACTTCCGTTTCACAGATATGATTGCTGCGCTTGGAGAAACGACTGCTGGACCTGCGTTACCTCGACTACGCGATCATATGTTGAACAGTGCAGAGGGGAGACAAATATTAAAGGATAGGCCACGTATCAACTCTGATACAGTTGACATGAACGCGTTGGCTCAACTCCCAGAGGGTACTTTCGGAAGAGCGTACGTGACTTGGTTGGAGAGATGCGGCGTTACACCTGATACACGAGCACCAGTATGTTCAATCTCCACCCTTCCACGCTTGTATTTTGAACGAGCATCGTCCTGCAGGTTCACTACATCGACGACCCGGAACTTGCCTATGTGATGCAACGATACCGCGAATGTCACGACTTTTACCATTGCATTGTCAACCTCCCTGTCGACGTCTCATCTGAACTCGCAGTCAAATTCTTCGAATTCGCAAACCTCGGTCTCCCAGTCGCAGCCATCTCAGCTGCATTCGGTCATCTCCGCCTCGACTGGCCAAAACGTCAAAGACTTTTCGGTGAATACGTTCCTTGGGCTATGAAGTGTGGTGCGAGTGCAAATAGTTTGATTACGGTGTATTGGGAGAAGAGGTGGGAGCAGGATTTTGGAGAGCTGCAGAGGGATATTGGCGTTTGGAGTGCGCCAGAGACGAAGTGGAGGAAACCTTTGAGTGAGGCGAAGATTGCTGCTGAGAAGAGGAGGAAGATGGCGGAGATGGCTTTGGCGGAAGGGGCAGAGGCTTCGTCGTAATGTAACTGTGAGTTGTTGGATTGACTCGTGTCTCTGCATTTTACTGAACGTTGGGCCCTGATTCAGTGCTCAGCGATACTCGTCTGGATATTGCAGATCTTTATAGCGAATATAGAATCTTGAAGTACACCCACGCAACCTTTCTCTGGTTATCTCATTGGGGCCGAATCTCTGAGAAAACAGCATTGTTGACAAGCGTTAGATCAGAAACCCCCTATTATCACAGGTTTTGGTCACTCTGGCCTTAGTCGGCCAAAGTACCTTGGGAACGCGAGAGGTTCTGCTTCTGAACTCCGGGACTAGTTTACGCTGAGCCTGTAAAGCGCCCTGCACGGGGTACTTTATCCTCCATCGTCAACGGGCCTGACCAGGAACTTTGACTCAGTTTCCGTAGTGTCCGCGTTGGAGGTGCTCCATTGCATATGTACAGCACCGACTCCTCACTGATATCCGGGATTGGAGTTGTGGGTCTTGACAAATTTTGATAGCCGGAGGAAGTTGTACAGCCTTTGAACCAAGAACGTACCTCAGGTTCTCAGAAGGCCTGCTTTAGGTTGCTTATCGCCTCCTGACCATGGGACAGTATCACTTGACCTGTGTTCCTGAACCCTGCTTACTTGCTGCGGTCAAACCCAGCTCCCACTGCCGTTCCATCCCCCCAGAGTCATATATAAACCCAGCCCCGAATCGTTGCTAGCCTACATCACACCATGTCCGAACAATCTCCCCCCACTTACGAAGCACACGAAGTACCCCCTCCAGCCTACACTTTCCCCACCACCTTTCCAATCGGTTCAAGAAACACTCCCCATCCATTGATCAACCCCGAACAATTGAAGTTTCATCTCACTCTCTTGCGATCATTTCATGACTTGAGGGTATCTGTCGAGGAGCGCGATTGGAGTGACGTACCACATGTGCCCACCGATAAGGGGCTGAAGTGGCCTTGGTTCTTGAATTTGGCTGTTGAGAGGTGAGTAATTCCACTCGTGCATCGCGGGGGTGGGAGAGGGTTCGCAGTTGGGTGGCATTGATGCTGACGAGGCTAATATAGGTTCGAGAGATGGGTTCATTCCCTTAGTTCCTCAGAGGAGTCGGTTGAATCATGGGTTGAGAAACGTATGCCTCCCCTCGACGTTCTCATGGTTTGGCATGCCTACTGCTTGAATCCTGGGTATGTTTTTCTCGATGTGACAAACCACCCAGTGCTTATCAATGAGACGCCTTGCATCTTTTATTTGGTCATTTTCATTAGATGGTACGCTGAAGACAGGATGCGAAACTCCTTCCTCAGCAAGCTCCCTAAACTTGGTAATACCATTATCGAACTGACAGTAAGTGCTCCACTTCCACCATTATTATTCGACTCCTATCTAAGGGTTATTTGGTTGTTCTTCCTTACCAAGGCGTTCGTCGGTAACCCCTCTACCTACAAACCCTCATCCACACGAGAGGCATCGTGGGTCCGCAAGATGAATACCCCATTTGATCCAATCGAATCAGCCCGTCAACTCCACACACGAAAGGTCAAGTGCCCCAAATGCGATACCAACATCGATA